TTATCTGCCTCCGGTCGGCTCGTTGGGCTCAGCCTGGGTCAGCGTCACCCTGCCTCCCACCAGGAAAACAGGACTTCCAGGACAAGTGATCCCAAAGAAGCTGCTCCTGTAGACTCTGACATTCTAGCCTCATTCATTCAACGTTTATTTATACAGGTTAGTCTCATTGAGCCACGAGGACTCGTTTACAAGAAGGACCTGTTCCAGACAGAACATATAAAGCACAGACAACAATAACAGTAAATAACAATAAACTACAGTAAAAAATGCAGTTAAAATACAAGTGGTGTATACATAATACTAATAAATAGTATCATATACGACACAGTTGTCTACTGGGATTTATATTTAACAGAATCAACAGAAACTGCTCTGATATTGGTAAACTGCCACTTATTGAGGTTCTGGTAATCCTAAATACTACATAAGAAGGTAATTTTCTGTTTGTTTCTTGAAGAAGTTTCACTTCTCATCCCAGAGATTTAAACTGATCAGTACCTAAAGTAACATCAAGAACTGCACGTTTGAACCATTATGACAATTATCATGATACAAGAACAACTTAAAAGGTTAAATCATGTCGTCTGGACCAGTTTAAGTGAGAAACTCACTTAAACTGGTCCAGACGACATGATTTAACTTTTGTTGTCATCTACCTGATGATTGAGCTTACAACCTCATTTATTATTTTTTTATAATACAGGAAGGTTTTCTTAAAAACAAATGTACAAACTCACTTAACCCTTTATTTGCCTGATTTTAGTGCAAATAGAAACAAAAGCTTAAGATTTTTGTTTTATAAAAACCAGTAAAGATCTCCCACTTTTTAATCTTTGACGTTTGATTAATGTGATATAAAAAGGACATTACATCAAGTTTAAATGGGAAGTAGAAACATCCATCCATCCATCCATCCATGAAAGTTGGGATTTTAATGCATTACTGTCACAAATTAAAAATATTTGTTGGCTCTGGTTTCTCAACTCTTGACAATTAAAAAAAAGCCTTTTGGTAAAAGAATATACCAAGTTTGGGAGAGTTGATCAGACAAATAAGACTCTTAAGGGAAATGGTGGTGCAGAGGTTAAAGGTGGGCCTGTGACTGAAAGGTCGCTGGTTCAACTGCCCGGACTAACATCAGAATCAGAATAAGCTTTATTATCATTGCACCCAAGTACAGTGAGATTATGTCCGTACAGTCGTCCAAAAGATGAGCAGAGTGCACGTTGCTGCTGCTCCTATCAGCGTGGCCCCTTATTCTGATGTGTAAATACACAGAGCAAAAAAATAAAAGCAGGAGTGAGACGGGAGAGGGAAGAAAATGCGTCCGTCTTGCTCGAGAGCGAGTGAGAGGAAAAAAAATCAAACATCAAAATGTGGGTGGAAAAGGTGAAACACCCTCACCTGCCTCCACCCTCATTTGCCCCACTCTGGGCCCTTGAGCCCTTAACCCCCACCATCTGCTCCCCAAAACAGATCTCTCTTGAAAACGAGTCCTCGTGACTCACTGAGACTACCTGCATAAATAAATATTAAACTAAATAAAAATGGTGTGATAGTTCCGGCAAAATGACACAAAACACATTTTCTGATATTCTGTACTGACAAAACCAAACCACCAAATTTTATCTAGTTCTGATTATATTTCCCTAAATCTGGCCTCTGAATGAGTTCTGCTCGCTAAAAACAAAGCGCAATTGAAAGAGTTATGTTAAACTCTGTTTACATCCTTCAATTTTTGTTTGTTTTTATCTTGTGAATATTTTATCATTGTGGAAAAATCCCTTTGAGCCATCGTGAATGAATTACTTTTACACTCTTTTTCTCTCTGTGGTTTAAATCTGCTCTGTGGACTGATGTCACCCAGTTTGCTTTAATCGTAAGACCCTTGGGCAAAAAAATAATTTTCTACGAACTGTGCGACTGCTTGTTTTTGGTGTGTGTGTGTGTGTTACACACAGAGGAGATAATGAGGGTGGAGGGTGGGCACACTGGAGAAATGAGGACGGGGGGGCTTAAACTGTTATCTGTAAGGATTTGAGGTGTGTTTACTGGAGTTAAATGGTGTGTGTCATCACTACGCAACTACTGTGTAATGTTGGCTAATGGGTGTGCTGTCTGGGTGGGTTTTAAGTCCACTTTTTGGACAAAACCAACAAGAAAGAAGGAGCACCGTCTCACAGCAGAACTATAAAAGAACTTTAAATCCCCCAAACTTTCTTAAGGCATCTGTCAAGAAGCTGACAGTCTGCTGAGACGTGCCTTTTCCCCCTGAACAATCAGGATTCTGAAAGTAAACACTGTTATTGGAAGCATTTCTGAGTTTTCTGCAGAATAAATATGGAGTGGATTTCTTTTAAGTGTAGATTTTGTTCAAATAAGGTTTGCAAATTGCTAAATGTAACGAAACCAAGCCGGCCTAAGTCAAGTCACATTTATTTATATAGCACATTTAAAACAGTAACTGTTATCAAAGTGCTTACCAAAAAAGACCACAGGATCCAATATTAATAAGATATTACTGCAACATGAATAAAAGCATAAAAACATGAAATATAATGAGAAACAATGAAATACTAAATCAAATCACCCTACGTTAAATGTCAGGGAGTAAAAGCAAAATGGATGAACACAATCATAAACAATGAAATACCAAACGAGATCACACTGTGTTAAATGCCAATGAGTACAGATGTGTTTTAAGAAGAGATTTAAAAATAGAGACCGAGCTGGCCTGTCGAATGCTGATGGGCATCGGCAACAGTCCTGTGGTTCATCAGACTGTAGGTCAAGTGAAGCTGGTTCATCTCTTTGATCCGGATTAAAATATACAGATCACTCATCACCATGAAAGCAACTCAGTCATGTTCCTGTTTTTAGTATTTTACACCACTTTATAATGTAGCTGTTTTTGTCTCATTTTTGCTGTTTTTAAAATAATTTATTTTATTTATGTTTCATTTTATACGACTGTCTATTGTTGTTTGTTCCTCATCTGTGTTTTGTTTAAAGCAGGTCTCTTGTAAATGAGTCCTCGTGGCTCAATGAGACTAAGCTGAATACAGATGCTGGTCATACATTTAAAATATCACAAAAAAGTTTATTTAATTTAGTAATTCTATTCAAAAGGTCCAACTTGTATATTATATTCATTCATTACACACAGACTGATACATTTCAATAGTTTATTTATTTTAATGTTGATGATTATAACCGACAACTAATGAAAACCCCAAATTCAGAATCTCAGAAAATTTGAACTTTACTTAAGACCAATAAAAAAAGGATTTCTAGAAATGTTTGCCAATTGAAAAGTACTGCAAATAAAAGGTTGAATGAAAGTATAAAAAAACAAAAAGCAGGAAAGCAGGCAGTGTACGGTAATTGCTCATATCTGTGAGTCTTTGTGTTAGCAAATTATTTCAGGCATCACTGAAAATTGTTCTTTGCAAATGAATAAATTTTGGAGCGGACCAGAATGAACATGGCTCTCACAACTGATCCAAAAGTGACTCAAACTGTCAATTTGACCTATTTTGAGCTCAAATATGGTATGGTAGATAAATGTAATTTATGGAGGATAAATTACAAACTCATGAGGGAAGAGCTGAAAAAAAAAAATAGTTGAAAGTTGAATAATGAGTCTGAGTGCCCATCAACCTTAATTATCAAGTAAATGGCTACAACTCAGCCGATTTTACAGCTGCTGAGCTAAACTTTAGTGTGGTAGTAGCTGACAGCCCCCTCCATCACATACTTTGAGCACTACCAGATCATTTGAGAACTTTTGTTAAAAACTTTGGAACAAAAGTTGGAAGTTCTTTTAAAGAATGCTACTCTCATTACTGTGAAGTTTGTCCATTATCTTTACCCGTTTCTTCCTTTCCGGGTCGTGGGGGTCACCGTTAAGGGGTGGGCACACCTTGGACAGGTCACAAGTCCATCACAGTACTGTAAAGTTTCACATGAACACTTTAGTCCCAGAGGAAGAGTTATTATTATTAAGACAAATCTTCACGTCTAAAAAGAAAACATGGTTAAGGCTGGTTTAGTTTGATCCCTCGCTCTGCAGAGAGGACGTGCAGCTTCACAGCTCTGACTTCACCGCTGCACTTCAGCTGCGCAGGCATTTCATTAACTTTGTGGCGTTTTAGCAATCGCACAAATCTAAAACTGCTCTAGTGCATTAAAAAAAAAAAAATGACCACACCATCATCTAATTTGCTTGATGCACCAGCAGATTTATGTTGTAAAATATGAGAACTGTTCTGTTAAACATTTAGCAAAAAGTGTCAAAACAATTAAATCCATAAAACTGATTGAATCCTGATACAAGCATCCATCAAGATGCCGAATTTCACCGTTAATATTCCTGAAAACAGCATTGAAGAGTCCACCTCTCAGACACATTAAATCATTTTATTTAAAAAAAAAAATTATCACCGCCACCTGTTTAACTGAAATCTTTATAGTTTTGGCCCGTTAAGCCCAATTTGTTTCCTCTCAGAGCAGAAACCTCCCTCTTTGCCTCGGTGTCACTGTTGTGACTGATGTCTTTTCCATCCTGCTGCCCTCCCTCATTAAAAAAAGGAAAAACTTCCAATCCTTTTGACCTTTACCATGACTTTGCTGTTTCCACTAAACATACATGAAAAACACACAACTGCTACCTTTCCTATTATAGTCAGATCTCCCTCCGTGTCCTCCCTTCCTAACAGACTTTTAAAGGCATGTCTGGTTTTCTGCTCTTGTGATAAAGCTATCAAAGCAGAAGGTCTGCATGTTTTAGAGGGGCTTTTGATGAACTAATTACAGCTGAGTACTTATTTTAGTCTGATACAGATCTTTAAATAGACTTAAATCTCTACTTTGAGGATTTCTGGGTGGAAATCTATCAGCAAATCCCATTAAAGAACAAATCAGCAATCAGAGAAATGCAAAAACCTCAGTGTTTGTGTCATTTCATTATATTTCTCAACATCCACATATGAATAAAATACATTTAAAGCAAACATTTGTTACAGAAATTCATCAGAACTCGTCCAGGTTGCTCCTGGTGTCTTGTAGATGTTTAAGAGACTTGAGCACCTCCTCTGTCAGCCTCCTGCCAAGTTGTTTACCCCCTCTGCTTCTGACATTCACTGTCCCACTCTCACGCTCCTTATCGCCCACCACTATGAAAAAAAAACAACAAAAATAAAGTGCTTAAATATGCTAACATCGATATCTGTTAGGTACAAACTCAAAACAGTGCACTGATGGAAAGAAACAACTGAGACAGGCTTTAGTTTATTAAACTGCCAGTTTTCATCTTAGTTTTTCATCTTTACCAAATATGTAGTTGTACTGAGCCAACTGAGCGGCGCGAATCTTCTTATTTAAGGTTGCGCTATGATCGTTTCTCATATCAGCCATGAAGCCAGCTTCACAGAACTGCTGGACCACCTTAAGAGGAGACAAGAGGTAAAAAAATGGAAGATAGTATCTGTAACGCTCTTCTAATATTAACAAATTAATCATGATAGTGGGGGGAAAAAAAAACACCAAGTACAGCTTATTGGCAGGTTTCCATCGGAGACTGACCTGTCTGCTGTATGACTCACTGCTGCCCCCTACAGGAATCACCTTCACCTGAGCTGGAGACAGCCACAGTGGCCTGGTTTGGGTTTAAAAGATCAAATAAAATAAGAGTTAGGGGGCTGATACAGTGTCATACTCTACAGCTTAATAAAATCCTGTAGTTCATCATCATACCACTTTCCTCCAAAGTTTTCAGCCAGGATGGCAATCATTCTCTCCAGTGATCCCAGTACAGCTCTGTGGATCATCACTGGTCTGCATGACACTCCATCTTGTCTGGGTTTAAAAATGATTTAGGTCAGAGTTCAAATTTATAGAAAAGATACATTTATTGATTTTAAAAAGATATCCATGATTGAGACCTGTTGTAAGAACCAAAACCAGACATTTCTTGCACCAGGGTTCTTCCTTTAAAAGTAAAGTGCTGTGTGTTGTCATCATTGTATGTTCCCATACAACGGCAAAATTAGTTCTCTGCATTTAACCCATAAAAACTGGGATTATCATTTCTAACCCGGGCCGGAAGCAGAGCCATGATAATGTGCTGGATGAGTGGACCATGTTGGTGTCGGGCTTTTGATTGAGTGAGTGGATCAGCCGTGTTCCAATTATATGGCATCATGACTTGCCATAAATTCCAATTATATGGCATCATGACTTGCCATAAACTCCAATTATATGGTAACATGGCTTGCCATACTTTCACCAGCCGCATGCGGCCATTTCACTGCGAACTGACCGGCCTTGAAAGAGGTAAAATAAAGTTCAGTTAAGCTTCAGATGGGACTGCCAGGCAGCGATCCATCAGTCCAAATGGACGTTCATTCAGCCGCTGCACTCAGCGGCTGAATGAACTACTGGTAATTCGTTGGGTGGGGTTCAGAAATGATTGCTACAGGCTGGGGCCGGGTTGGATCAGATTTTTTGGACCCGAATGCAACTCTACCTGGGATGCACCCAGGTGGGGTGGTGGGCAGCTATGTAGGCACCCGGGGAGCAATTAGGGATTGGGTGTCTTGCTCAGAGACACCATGACATGTGGGAATGGCTGGGGATCTAACCTGGGACTTTCAGGTCCCGAGTCGGCTGCCCTGCTTCTATCCCAACTTACTGACTGAAAACATATGAAGTGAAAAACCGAGAGGCAGACAGAGAACAAGACGATGTATTCATGACCAAATCGACTTAATTTGTTTTATTTAAACCTGAACAATCACCGAACTTCACATCCAAATGCAAGTTTATCAGAAACCAAAGCAGATTTGTCAACAGTGCTGGTTTAGAGCCGTGCAGACCAACGCCTCAGGGACTGAACGCCAAACGCAGCAGTTCTGAACCGACTCACCCGACGTACTGAAGGTCGAATCTGATCGGCAGCTGGAAGTCCAGTTGGATTGTGGCGCACTGGTGTTGTCGGCCGATTGCGTCTTTAATCAGGATGTCAATCTATGAAGAAAAAGGAAAAAGTCTGTTCTGGTTTTAGAGTTAGGTGAATATTCCTGCACACAAAAGGTGACAAACTTTATGATTCTGGGAGAAGTTCAACTACCTAACTGTGGCCGGCAGTCCCTCGCTGCATGGCTGTAAAATGTTGAAGTGTCACGCTCGTCCTGACTTGACCTACCTCTGTGCCTTCATGACTCTGATCCTGTCCTCATGATGCTCGTTGACTTCGTGCACAAATTAAACTGCCTCAAAGAAAGCAGAGCTCAGTTCACATCATTTTATGATTAATAAAAGGAACTGAGCATTAAAGGACTGATGCTACAATGATGAACTTTAAAAGGATTAAATTACAAATTAATAATCAGAGCATCATTTTACCAGTTGATGATTTAAGAATTCAACTTGGTGCTTTTGTTGTTGGGGATTAGCTGTAAAGATGAAAACCAGGACTAATTTTTAAATGAAGATCTCACCAGAAATAAGTCGACTTTGAGAATGGCAGAAAGAGAATTTAGCCTAAATCTGACTGAAATAAAGAAGAAAAAAGCTTTTGACCACATGTGAAATCTCACACTCATTTGATCTCATTCCTTTAATTCATAACAAAAACAAAAAATAGTTTGTTGTCCCTGTGACTGTACCAGAAAACAATCTGGAACTGAGGAGCTGTGATAAAGTGACAATAATCCTAAAGTTAAACTGAATAAAAGCATGATTTCTTCTGGTGCATCTGCCAAATGAGCCTTTAATATTTCTTCAACAGCACACGTACATGTGGTCCGTTCTGCAGCCTGGAGTAATTTGTATATGCAGATAATCCTAAAACACGTATTGTTAAACTTTATTGTTAAAATCTGTGGATCTTTTTGGTTCAAGTTTTGTGTCTGTAGTGGCTAAAAAAAATTCAAATGCAGACAGTGCATTTATAGTTTAGACTGCTAGTAAACACTGAAACCTTCTGTTTACTTCTGTATGTTGTCTGGACCTTCTTTATATTTTTAACCCTCCTGCTGCTCTTGGGTCAAAAACTGAGGTCTCAGGGTCATTTTGACCCAAGGGCAGCAGGAGGGTTGAGTAAATGGTACTCCTCCCACTGACCTTTGGGCCGTAAAAAGCTCCGTCTCCAGGGTTCAGCTTCCAATGTTCACCAAACTGCTGCAGACCATTCATTAGTTGCTGCTCGAATGAGAACACACACACACACACACACACACACACACACACACACACACACACA